CCTTGGCCTCCCAAAGTACTGGGATTATAGGCGTGAGCCACGGCACCTGGCCAAAAAAGTTTCATTTTCAATAGAGCTTTCCGACTGTTTGTGCCTTTGACATTTTCAAAATGATTTTCTGCTCCTCGATAAGGAAAGCACACTTGATCCTGTCATGAACACATTTAGCACACACAGAACCAGGGAACCACCACAGGCCCTACTGACATGCCTTTTGTTTTGGACAATCAAATAAGAACTTTAGGTCTCACAGCATGAACTCCTGAAAGTCTGCCTGGGCACACACCACGTGAAGATTTTGGTGCTTTCCAACCTTCTTGGTATAAAGGTAAATGATTCTATTACTAGGGGTTCGGGACATCCTAGTTTAGTTAGAGGTTTCTCGTTAGAGGCCTACAACTGTATGTCACCTGCTGGCCCATTCTGCATGCCTCTAGACAATGTTCATAAAGATCAAGGAACTTTTTAAAAACAATTCCCCGATCCTGTTTCTCCTGTCCACATTCCCTTCTCCCTTCCACAAAAAGCCTTGGGGTTCAAACAGGACGCAGAACTCACCGCTTCAGGACGAGGTTCAGCAGGTAAGCAACAGCAGCCAGGGACTCCGGGGACTCCACTGCTTCCATTGTTGTCATCTGAGGGCCAGATCGAGGGGGTGTGAATGGATAAAACCTTACACTGAGTAGCAGGAAAGACAGCAGGGGAACATGTGCCCAGCAGAACAGGTGTGACCAAGAACCACAGTATCTGAGGTTCAAATCCTGGCTCTGTCACTGTGTGGCTCTGGGATAGTAATTTAACCTATCTGTGCCTCAGTTTCTTCATTTGTAAAGTAGGATAGTAATGCTACATACCTTATAAGTTGTGATATTTAATTGAATTTATATATATACATAATACTGCCTGACACGTAATTCAAACTATATATATGTATATGTCCATATATATACACAGAGATAGATAGAGACAGTTTTTTGAGAGACAGGGTCTCCCAGGTTGGAGTACAGTGGTATGATCATAGCTCACCGTAACCTTCAACTCCAAAGCTCAAGAGATCCTCCCACATCAGCCTCCCAAGCAGCCAGAATTACAGACATGTGCCACAAAGCTTGGCTAATTATTTTATTTTTTGTGGAGATAGTGTCTCACTATATTGCCCAGGCTGGTGTCGAATTCCTAGCTTCAAGGACTCCTCCCACCTTGGCCTTCCAAAATCCCAGGATTAAAGGCATGAGCCACCATATCCGGCCAAAAACCATATACTGCCATCTAATTTATTTCATCATTCTAGAGCAGAAGTTTGCAAACTTTTTCTATGAAGCACCAGAGAGTAAATATTTTCAGCTTTGCATGCACATATGGTCTCTGCTGTATTATCTTTTCGTGTGTGTTTTAACAATTCTTTAAAAATGTAATAACTGGGCTGGGCATGGTGGCTCATGCCTGTAATCCCAGCACTTTGGAAGGCCAAAGTGGGAGAACTGCTTCAGTCCAAGAGCTCAAGACCAGCCTGGGCAACATGGCGAAACTCCATCTCTACTAAAAATACAAAAATTCACTGGGCATTGGTGGCACAAGCCTATAATCCTGACTATTCAGGAGGCTAAGGCACAATAATCACTTGAACACAGGAGGTGGAGGCTGCAGTGGGCCATGATCACATCACTGCACTCCAGCCTGGGTGACAGAGTGAGACCCTGTCTCCAAAACAAAACAACAAAAAGCCCCAAAATAAAATAAAAATTACATATATATATATATATATATATATAT